TTAAGTAGTGGGAATACAACAGTGGAGAGAGAGAGGGAGGGAGAGAGAGAGAGAGTGAATGAGAGATTACATTTTTTTTAGTCATTTTATTCAATACACTGGATCATTATAATTGTACAGAGGTTGTCCAACATTTTTTAACTTCATAGTCAGAGACTATGTACCAACTTTCATATCAAGAGGTGTAAACCTGAGGCAGCCTTCACCAACCTGGTGCTTTTTAGAAAATTGAATCTTCAGAGTTCCCAGCCAGCTAACTGGGACTATGAAAGATGCAATCTAACAATTTTCAAGGATAACAGGCTAACAAACAATCTTACAAAATGACATGACTTTGCATTAATGATTCTGTAAATGATCTATTACTACTCTTGGCTCCTCCAACTCTGACTTTATATAAAAATATGGCTTTCAGCAATCATGAGCTGACTCAGCTTAATGTTCCTATGTCATAATCATGTTATTGTGCAATTTTGTTCTGGAACACATTCTTTATCTAATTGGAGTGTTGGAAAGACACTAAATATTGCCTGGTGCTATAAGAATTATAAATGTGCACACACTTGAAACCCTAGGAGAAAACAGTAAGAAGCATTCAATTCCATCCCAAGGGTTGAACCACTTTCCAGAATTTCTGGACTCTGCATTTTCAGACTTAAAATAGGAATATACTGATCTTAAAGTGCACAGGTCCTCTTCCTTTTATGCTCTCCATTCTCACCACTTCCTAAATTTTATCTTGATAATTTTCTTTTCAAATATGAATTAATTGCCCTGCTGCAATCTCTTACTTCTTCCTAGTTTTTCTTCACATGTACATTCATTCCTAGATTTGAACTTAACTGTGGTATAACATCATTTAACATATTTAATTCATGGTGTTACAGGCCACCAAAGTCATTATTATCATTGCCTCTTGTATACTAAATTGTCTGAAATCTGTGTGAGCACACTAGTAAAAAACGTTTAGAGTTACTGTCTTAAAATTAATTTTTTTCTATCAACTATCCTAGCTCGTGTGGTAAAGTACTATAAATATCAGGAATGTAAGTGGTTTCTCATTGAAAAACAAGTTAATTAATCAAAGGTCTTAATTACTTATGAAAACATGCTTACTGAGAAGGCAAATACAGGCTCAAAAACATTTCAGAGAGAAATCATTCACAATTTGAGTTTTAGTTCAACTGAAACACAACTCAGCAAAGAGAGGAAGATCCTAGCTGCATAAATTAAGAAAATATTTGCAAAAACATCTGAAATACACACGTCAATGGTCTTCCATATGAATACATACCATCTATACCGGTAATTGAGATGATTAAAGGGTAGTGTTATACAAAAAGTAACAGTTCGATTTTCAGTGACTGGAAATGCAAGCTGGCAAGACCAATTGTCAATGTTTTATTTTGAATATTTATCTGAGAAAGTGGGGAAGGGGTTGGTCTATGTGGGAATGGAAAATCTAGTAATTTATTTGTAAATCTAAAACCAGGCCTAATGTAGCTGTGAAGGCCAAAAGTGGGGTTTAAATGTGGGGTTTGATTTTTACCATTATTTCAACTATGAATATACATGAACTACACACATTATGTCACCCACCTAGTGGATAGAGACTAAGTATGCAGAAACTACAGGTGAATGTTCTACAAGAAGTCCTTGATTTATGAATGACCATTTGCATTTATGATGGCTATGGCCAGAATAGCATCTCCCTACCTGTTGTAAACAGTCATGCCGTTTCTCTCTTGTCAAGATTGCTGCATTCACTTAAAAACACCTGCCAAAAAGATAATAAAATCACTTCTGGTCATGTGGACACCTCTATTTACAACTGTAATGACTTATGACTGTATTTTCAGTCTCAGTGGCACTCATAAGTTGAGGACTACCTATCATCTGTGGTGGCCCATCCTATTAAAAAAGTAAAAAGGAAACTTGAGGAGCAAACATCTGAAGATCCTGTTGTACATATTACAAATAGCCCAAGAGATGTAGTGTAATACAGAAAGAAATCTGGGGACTGTTAGGTTGCTGTCTGCTTAAATCACACATGCATTTGTATGTATCAACCACACGTAATCCGTGGCACGACAAAACCGCGCTCGACTAAGCCGCGCCCGATTAAACTGCGTCACTGACGTCATCAACAGGGCGACAACAGCGAGCGCGGAGAAAGAAGGGCGCTTTAAATAGTGCTTTGAAAGCAAGCCGATTCAACTTAAGGTAAGGGTTAGGTTTAGGGTTAGGGTTAGGGTTAGGTTAAGGGTTAGGGTTAGGGTTAGGGTTAGGTTAAGGGTTAGGGTTAGGTTTAGGGTTAGGTTAAGGGTTAGGTTTAGGGTTAGGTTTAGGGTTAGGTTTAGGGTTAGGTTAAGGGTTAGGTTTAGGGTTAGGGTTAGGTTTAGGATTAGGTTTAGGGGGGTTAGGTTTAGGTTTAGGGGTTAATTTTAGGTTTAGCGTTTACAGCGTGCTTCTGTCTCCGCGCTGTTGTCACCCTGAATCTGTCCAATTCAGTATGGTAAGTTGTTCTGCATAAATGAAATACCTAGTGAGATTGAGCTGATGGCTACTCCTTTTGTGAACCTGCTCAGAGTGATACATCTGATGCTTTTCAGTGGAGTTCTCCTCAACATGTTTAGATGGATTTGAGTGCGAGAAAAAAATGATTAGCCCAGTGAGGTTTCATGACTTAAGGTGGGACTAGAACTCTCCGTCTCCTGGTTTCTAGCCTGATGCCTTAACCACTAGACCAAACTTTCCTGGGGAATTATGAATATTTTCAACATTGCTTTCTAAATGCAGAAATTTGTCCCTAATATCTAATTTGGATATTTGAATGAAAACAGAGAAGCAATGCAGAAATATAATCTGGAGAATGTCCAATGTTGATGACCTTAAGTCTTTTTTTCCCCATATGGCTTATTCTACAGGTAGTACCAACTAGAAATGCATGTAAGTTTAATGTAATCAAGTGCCTATATGAAAAGTGCATCGGGGATATTCAATTTTAACCCAAATACGAATTAGGTAAAAGGCAAGAGTTGCTTTACTTGGTATTGTTTGATAGTAAAATTGACACATAGGTAACAAAGATTTGTGAGAGCTACATGCCTTTCTGTTGCCCTTCACTTCATTCTATGCTGCTATTGAATTGCCTTTAAATCTATGAAGACAGAACAGATAGATGTTCCTATGTTATTCAGAGTTTTGCTAGATAATGGTTCTTTAATTTTTTTTAAAAAAAATGGATAATGATGAATATGAGTAATGTTCCCTTATAACTTGTAAGAGTGATTATGAAAGTGACCTACAAGATTTAATAGTATATGCTGAAAAATTCCCATTTTTTCTTTTTTTCTCCATTTTTGCAAGTCACTTAAAAAACTGTATATTTTTATGCAACCTAAGATAGGAAGTTTGGTTTTTGCTACTTGTTCCAAGTGTTCCAAGTAGTTCAATAATTCATATATTTATTATCTAGAATGCTTATTTAGCAATCAATATTGCTAACTTATAAAACCTACAAAATGATCTCAAAGAAAGAGATTCATAAAATCTTTGTATTTGGTGGGAGGGAAGGAGATTTATCTTTTAATAAAAATATGAGCAGACAAATAATTATTAGAATCTTGGTGTTCAAGGAACTGGGAATGAAAGTGTATGAATAGCCAACTTTAGTAATGAGTCATCACTTTGAAGATTGTTTTTTTAAAAAAAAATTGTGGCGAAAAGCATAACAAGTGTTAGTGTCCTAAAGAGGCAGGTGGCTGTTGCACAAGTTTGGACAAGTGTCCCTTTTATTTCAAGCAGAGATCAGTAGAACATTCCCATAACCTTCACACTGATTCATTTCTTATTTTGTTTAGATGTTCTGAGTTCTTTTGGATTCTCACCCTTTAAAAATTCTATTGCACATCATGTGTGGGTGGATTTGTTTATATTTCCTCCACCATAGCATTCAGTAACAAAAGCACTATGCATTTTATGGCAGCTTGACTGCAGCTTTCATCTAAGTTTGTCCCCCCTCTCTTTCTCTCTCTCCCCCCTCTCACACATTTTATTTTACACAGGAGAACATGAAGGATTAGAAAATATTAATATATTGCATCCTGAGATGCAATTAGAAATTAAAAACTCTGCATTAAACACAGATTGCAGTGTTGTTTTGCCTACATAGCAAGCAAATTTTAAACTTTAATAGTTCAGACAGATCAAACTGAAGGATCTGGGAGGCCTTAGTCTAAATCCTTTCCCAGTGCTGAGTATTATTAAGTAATATTACAAAGGTCTTGCTATCAGTTCTAAAAACTGCACAATTTGACATCATCATAGTATCTTACCTGTATTTGATATACCACTTCAGCATGCAACTCTGTCTTAGAGTTAGGGTTGTATCCAATGCTTGGACTACCAGTTGTGGCTCTTCCCCTCCAAAAATGGGAATTTTGGAAGTTGTAATCAAAAACACACGGAAAGTATTAGATCAGGTTTGGTTGACTTAATATATAAATAGAATCCTTTGAATTTCAAGGAGATGAAATCAGTCAATCTTAAAGGAAATCAATCCTGACTGCTCTTTTGAAAGACAGATACTTCAGCTGAAGTTCAAATACTTTGGCCACCTAACAAGAAAGGACAGATAGGAAAAGACTCTGATGTTGAGAAAGATTAAAGGCCCAAGGAGAAGGGGACAGCAGAGGATGAGATAACTTAGATAGTGTCATCAACTTAATGAATATAAATTTGGGCAAACTCTGGCAGACAATGTAGTGTAGGGGGCCTGGCATGCTACAGTCCATGATGTTGCAAAGAGTTTGACAGGACTCAGTGACTGAACAACAAGGATGTTTGTGCATTTTGCATTTTGGCTTCTTCATAACACCATTTAAGCATTTTGAACAATTATAATTGAAAATGATGAATGAATGAATGAATGACTTAATATTTTAGTTAGAAACTGAAATGCTTCAAATGCTTCTAATATTCCCTTATTATATTGACAGGTTGAACCACTCATTCAGAAGGGTCATGAGAGTATAGTGCACCATATGCTTCTCTATCAGTGTAGTAGCAGTCTAAACGACAGTGTTCTGGATTATGGCCATGAGTGCTATCACCCAAACATGCCAGATTCATTTCTCACCTGTCAAACAGTCATATTTGCTTGGGCTATTGGAGGAGAGGTAAGATTAATTCTTATTTAAATGTCTTTATCAAATAATGTAAAGATTCCTTTAATTCACATTTTAATTTTGGGGAGTGCATAATTGCAGCAGGGGGTGGGGTTGGTAGAATTATTGGCAGGATTTTGCCATTCTCTTCTTCCGGGGCTCTTTGAGTTCCTAGTTTGAGTTCCTAGTTAGGCAAAAGCTCTGAACTTCTGAAGTGGTTTCCACAGCCGAGAGCTAACTAGAGGAGCCCTGTTTATTTTCTAAAATTAAGCCAAATTTGGCACAAGGTTGAATACATTCTCTACAATAAATGCTTTTAAAGTTTTTTTTAATCAGCTGAGTGATTATAGAACTATTATATCCTTATTTTAATTGGACATACCTAACAAATATTAGGTATGCTTGGCAGATTCTTAGTTTTTCTTGGCCCTGTATTTGTTCTTTTAGTATTTTTCCTTGATACAAGAAACTGTTTCTTAATTTTCATCTTTGCTAGCAATACATATGCATTTTTAAGTAGAATAATAATGCTTTTTCATTACTTTTCAATTTCCTTATTGTTTATTCACTTGTTTTGTATTCTTCTTTATTCTATTTCTTTTCTTTCTTTGTTTTTATTACTGTATAAAACCTTTTAATAAGAGTTTTAATAAATTATTTTTAAAATACTAGTAATGCATGATTACCAATTGTTTTCTGTTGAATGACGGAAAAGCATGTCCATACATTAATATAGAATTGTTAACATATTATAATATATTATAAATAATTCTATCAAACTGGAGCTAAATATGTGCTCAGGGTAAAAAAAAACTGCTAACATATGCTTGCTGTGATATGAGCCAATTCTAGGAGATTTATTTTCTCTCTAAAATTATATCAGTGAAGCTATAAATACATAGTTAAAATAAGAATTTAAATGTTTATACCATTGAATCCATTTACTTATGTTGATATGTTTCCAATCTCAGGGTTTTATCTACCCTCCTCATGTTGGCTTATCCATTGGAACAGCTTTAGACCCTCAATATGTACTCATGGAAGTCCATTATGATAACCCTTCATATTTGGAAGGTATGTTCCCTCAACTGTTAAAATGTGTTGAATGTATATATTCCTTACAAAAGCATGTATCTTGCCAGTTATCTACATCTGGTACAATTGTACTTCCTTAATGCCAAATCCTAGACATGAGGATTTAAGTGGGATATTTAAGATTAAAATAGTTACTTTTGCACTGAGTCTCCATTTCAAAAGAAGTCAGGAATATTGATCTATTTTCTAAGTTAGCTAGTTATCTTTAGGCTCTGCAATCTGGCAAGTCTGCTTTGTTTGTTTACTTTCAGTCTTTCTTCCTTTCGGATAGCAACAAGGAAAAATCCATGTAGTGTTCAATACCCCCAAAATGGCTCTCACTCACAAAACTATAAAAGTCGTTATAAACTATTGTTTCGTTCTGGTTCTTTGGGAACTGTACTGAACTGTTCACAGGGGATGCAGGTGGAGGGAATTTGCCTTGGGATGTCACAATGCATATCCACGACTTATGTTTTTCCATCCAGTGCTAGGATGTAAATATAAAAAGTCATATATGCCTTCATCCCCCGCCTCTTATCATAGTTTATGTGTATGTTTATACTATATGTGTGTAGGTCATAGTAAAAATGAGCATTTTGAGGGAAAAATGGATAGGACCGAATGCTGCATTACCTAATTCCTATGCTATGGAAATAGATGTGTTATTATTTAAGGGTAGAATTGGCTGCACTGTTTGCCCTTGAACAGTGGTGGGATTTTCAGTAGATATTTTAGTTAAGAATGCTACCTTCTCTGCTTTGATTAACTATCTGTACCCAGATCTCTATCACAGCAGACAGTGAATTCCTTTCCCCCTCCAAGGCACCTCACCTCTCCTGCTTGAATGGCATGGCAAATTTCCAGATTTCCAAAACTGAGTGGACAAAACAGAAATTAATTTCTCATGATTCATGTGTGTGTGTGTGTGTCTGTCTGTCTGTCTGTCTGTCTGCTGCAAATGAGCTCTGCCTGCAGAGCTATGTTTCTATACTGAAAGACTTCTTACAGGAACAGTACAACAACTAGCTTATAGACTGTATTAGAAAGCTGCTATCTGGAAAATCCCCAACAGAGGCATAAAACTGAGCATAAATGTTTGTACTGATCAAAAAAGCCTAGACATTCGTTTTATTTCACTGCTTTCTTGAGATTTTGCTTTTTTTTTTTTTGCTTTATTGCCATTTTTTTTAAAATTAAAAACCTGTTGTTTGATCTATCTTAACTCTAATTCCTCTTTCTCTGTGTTATAGCAATGGGCCAAATTGGCAAC